TTCAGTGTACAAGAAAAGTGGGCTCTATCCGATGCACAAATGCAGCTGATATATCCGTATATGTTTCAGAGAGGGGTATATTATTGTGTCTAAGTATCTGCCTGAATAATGGCTCTCAAAGAGGTGAGCTGCTGCTTTGTTGCACAAAGCACGCAAGACCAGACTAGCAGCACCACGTAATCATGCATTTAAAGAAAATAGTTCCATACTATTAAGTAAATATACCTTGTGAGAGCTGGTGTGATTGAAAGACTCCTCAGTTTGAGACAGCAGGCGACCAGCGTAGGTGAATGGTGCAAGTCTCTGCAAATTGGTCCCAAGCAATGGATCCACCTGTCACATGTCACAGCTTTCAGAGCTACCAAAAGCTGAGCTCAACAGAATGGAAAAAAAAACAGATGGTACTAGTAAGTGTTGTGCAGCTATGCAGAAACTGTATGTAGCTGAATGTTCAAGAAGATAATTAACAGTTCCCGAAGCAGCTTTGACGACCAGTGCGCCCTCTATTCCAGGTTTTATGGGCATTGTAATATTGATCCATCTATTGTAGTAAAAATCAGACATAAACCATTATCTCCTTTGAGACCACCAATGCAGGGCTGATGCTTGCGGTCACTCAAACTTATTAAAAGCAGAGGAGTATTGAGCTCTCCATCCATAAGGCCGATAAACCATGACAGAACAAAGCCTGGCGTTTGTACAGAGTCTGTGACACTCGAAGATAACACAAACTTAATCATTAGCAAAGTGACTGAAGGTGAGGTGGGCAGATGAAGAGCATGGTAATTAGACTGAGGGATGTTTTTGTCATGGTGTACATGACCCAGACAAGTCGGTAAAAGACAAAAGTAGAGTGATTTTCACCGATATCAGGGGTTTGCAAAAGGACGTTTGTGTTTTCTGCTGCTCAGTTATCTTTCACGGACCAGTCTTGTATACATAGGAGTTATAAAACACCATTTTTTCATGGGCTTCTAAAAAACATGTGGGTCATCTTTACTGTCTTTTTTGTATCATTACATTATGATGTAAGAATTTCAGTATCCTCTACTTGCCACCCACAGAAAGAAAAAAATTCTAAATTAGCATTTCTATCGAGTAGATGGTTTAAGTCCGCTGAAAACATTTAGGAAACATTAACAGTAGATTGTGATTTGGCCTGATCCAACGCTCATCCCTGCCCACAGTAACTGTGCCAGCAGTCTCTGCAGGCTCATCTGCAGGGGCAACGCAGACAACAGGGATCTTCGGGACATGCTGAGTGTGATTATCTCAGACATCCTCCCCATGAAACCAAACACAGCAAATGTAATAAGTGAGAAACAGAATGCATCCTCATATTAGAGATTTCTGTGTATTTTCTGGGGTTATTTGCTGAGAGCACAAAGGTATTGTTTGCTGTAGGTGTACCAGTAGGAGTTGCAGAAGTGGAGGAGTATTGGAATCTTTCCAATGCACTTTGGTACTACTTTATAAATCCTGTTGATGCGAGTTTGTGTGCGAAACTACAACCAATATCAGTTATGCAAACAGCAGAAAACCTCCTCATGTGTGCAAATCTGTGGAGATACTGAGAGTAAAACTTATTCTGAGGGAGGAATGCTTACTTTACAAACCGTGCATATGCAGACGAAATCACATTCGATCAAATGCATCCAAATGAGGTTTCTCTACAGGGGCAACTTTTAGTTTCTTTCCCGCACTGCCGAGTTCATGCATGATTGAGAGTATTTTTCACTTCATGAAGCTCGCGTTTCTATTTTCATTACTTGGAGAAAAGGAATCTAGAAACACCAAGGGGGGAATTTGGTCTAGCCAGTCAAATTAGAGAAAAACTGGTGAAGACTTTTTATGAGGGACAATTAATTTGTTTCATTAATATGGTGATTCATATTTTAGGTTCTTAATAAAAATAACAGTTTTGTCCTCGACTTTACACATGAAACTTTATTCTGCCCCCCAACCTAGCAACTCTGAGAATGCAGAAGCAAAATAGCCCCTGCATTGTCTGTAGCCACCGTACTGAGGAAACGTAGCATCTACAAGGTGATTTGAACTGGCTCCTGTGGTGATGTCATGACAGGAGCTGACAAGGGAGTGGTGGGGACAAAAAATTGTCCCCCTGAAAGTTTGGTTTTTTGCATTTTCAATCGTAATTTTGAGTCATGTAGAGTCACAAACACACGCAAACTGACACAAACACAAATGTAAATCCCACCGCTGATATTAAAATCCATTTAAACTGACGTGACCAAGGCATAATATGCCAAACACGTTGACAACTTACACTTCGCAGTTGCAGATAACATGCACTATCTGCCTCCCCTTCGGTCCAACTAGCAGGTAACTTTTCTAACTTTAGGTTAGAGGTGGGACTTCAAGCAGAGATTAACTGTTAAACCTTTTTGCGCCATAATCATTGATTAAACACTACGGACAGCAGTTGTATTGATAGAGACTACACTGTAGCAGATGATTATTGGTAGGGACGTGTCCCTAGTGTCCCTACCCAATTCTCCACCCTTGGGAGCTGAATGGGCATGCATGCAAAACTCCCTGTTTTGCGGAACACGTTTGGTCCTTACAGACTCCAGATGAGGTGTAACAGGAATGTAAATATTAAGGGTGGGAGAAAAAATTGATTCACATAAGTTTAGCAATTTTTTGTTTTTCAATTTTTAAATCAGTTATTTTGATCAAAAATCTATTTTTTTTTTCAAATATAAGAACAAATCTTAAAAACTGACTTATATTTGATGTTTATTTTTGGGGAAATATTGTTCCTAGAATAGTCAGTAGACAATCATAATCATGCAACTGTTTCATAGGTGTTACAAAAGCAGACTAAAAATCGAGAAAATGGACAATATCGTAGAATCACACTTTAAATCGAATCAGCATCCAAAAAAATCATAGAAGAATCAAATCATATCGAAAAGCATATCGTTCCAGCCCTAGTAAATGTCCCGTCATGCTAGGACCTTCTGGATAACTCGCCATATCTGATTTGCTCTCTTGATTTGGCCTGCACCAGTCTGCAGCCCCCATCCCTTCATTTTTGACTTTTTAAAACTGTATTCAAAGCTTTCTCAAAAAAAGAACAAAGGCATGTTTAAACAGCTAAAAATGCATTCATTGTGGAGCCTTTAAAATTTTCATGCACTTGTAACAGATTTTTGTCTTTTTCACATTGAAAAGGGAGAGAGTAAGACAGAGAACTGAATCCTGCTGCACTACAAACATTTCATTTTGAGCTCTCTGCCCTGAATGAAACCTTGTTTGCGTGGTTCATACTCACTCCTACACCCTGCACACCAGTCTCATCACCTCATACAAAAACACACCCTTCTGATTTACACTGTATTACTTTTAAATGAATTGCTTTTCCATCCCAGTGACCTGCACCGGTATCTTTTTAGGCAGAAAGGATTCTGAGCTGATGATGATGAACTATGCATTAATAGGAGGAGCAGGAAATGAACCTTATTATGAAGCTTAATATAAACCTGATTCAAAAGCAGCTGTGCAGTTAATGCACTGGTCAAGCTTTTTAATGGGCTTTATGGACGCTATTAGTGTCATCAATTATTTATTTATCGATGCAAATAATAACCCTTCAGAGTCGGAGTCAGAGTTTGTACATTAATATCAAAACAACGAGATGTTATCCAGACCTACGACTCTGCACTTGCACGCTCAGAATTAATGTACATGAACTTTTGGCTGATAGTTTAAATAAAGAAAGAGATTCTTTCTACAGAAAATGAGGATGAAAATGATTCTGTTTCACATTTTAACACCAATTGCCGCAGCTCTCACAAAAAATACTCAGTCCTCTTAAACTAGACTAGAATTAATGAGACAGACAGCGCTGTAAAATATAAAAAGGGCAACACACTTTTTTTAATATGCGATAATCTACGGGCCATTAGAGGCAATTATGAGCGGCCTTTAACATGTTTTATATCTCTTCATTAGCAAATTATATCACTGCATTATTGATGGGCGGATGACTGCATGGACATGAGGGTGGTTGTTTGTGTGAAGGGAACAGATGCATGACGGTAAAGTCAGTTTGATATTAAAAGTGGAAGAGAAACCAAAAAATCCCCTCTGACCTTCACTCTTCAGCGCAAAGATTAACTTCTCTTTCCTCACATCCCTCTTAAAAAAAAAAGCTCACTGTCTTGTTTTTGCACCTCACGCTGTCGAGAGCCCCTCTCAAACCGAACCTCCGTCACACTGTTACACTTTTAAGGGGCTCCGGGCTCTTGACCCTCATGCTGTACAAGCAGAAATTGACCGTGCCCTCTCGGCGTCTCCGATCAAAAGAAGCAGAGTGAGGATTACTTTCGGTTATTGTGCTGTGAAACAACAGTGGAGCGAGGTATTAAGTGGGTTCGTAAACCTCATGCGTCTTCTGATTGAAACAGAGTTAAGATGCAGAGCAGGCTGGATGCTTGAGCCTTTACTGACGAGACAGAGAGGATGTCGGGACTGGATAATGTGTAATAATGTCAGACACTGAGTTATTATTTGTCCCTGTCTTTGCATTTTAATTTCATGTACAATGTATTTGGACAAGGAAAGTGATTAAATTTGACATTGCACATGTGCCAAAGGTTATGAGAAAATTCTCTCTGATTCGACAAAACTAGGAGGAAGGGGAAAAAATCCAATAAAGCTTAGCCGTGCCCCAGAAAGAGAAGATGTTAAACCGAGGCTGCTTTTTCATTTAGACTCTTCCTCTTTCTCTCCCTCGCTCTTCCTGCTCCCTTATTACCCTGCAGCTCTGAGAGGTAGGGAAATGATTTGGGTTGAGCCAGCAGAGTGGTCAGGACAGACTGAGTGAGACCTATAGCAGAGGTTGAGTCGGTGTTTGCAAGGAAAAGGAAGATCTGAAATGGAGGGGAGATATTATTGTATTCATTATTCATGTCAAGCATCCCTCCAGCTTCAGTTCAGCTGCAGCATCACTGCCTATAGTTTGTTTGTTTCACCCCAGCAGCACACTCATAAAGATACTGTTGTGTGTACGTGCATGTGTGCGTCTGAACGTACGGCCTCTTGTGTGGATGCTTGCAAATGTCCCGTCCCTCGCGGGTGATGTGAGGGCTGCTTCCAGATGGCTGCCAGTGAAACTCAGTCTTAATCGTGGTCCACACCTGTCCTCTCCGGGGTAATGACAGCATCCCACTTCTCTCACACTCCCATTTTGATGTCTCCTTCCGCTCTATCCTCCACACCTCCATCCTCTTCCCTTTTTCCTGTTTTACTCCCACCCCAAGTGGAGCAGATGAGTTTTTTTTCTTCTCTCACCCTCAACCCTAACATCTTCATGAACGACTTTTCATCTCCTGCTGTGACCATAACTATTCATCATTTATTAGCCCTGACACTGAGCTGCATTTGTTTACCTGGTCACCGTCTATTCTGTCCTAATAATGAGATGAAAATGTCAGACACTGCTTGTTTTTCTTCATAGGTGTTGCAGCTGAAAATAACACACCTTAAAAGAGACCTTAGGTGTTAAACGAGTCTTTGTGATCTGTAAACGATGACATTCAGAACTAATGGCTAAATCAAGAGTTTAATTACATGCAGAAATAAATCACAGAGCTGGTAAAATCACGCTAAAAGGAAACAGAAAGTAGATAATGATGTTTTGGTCACAAAATGCTCCATGCATCCCATGTGTCAAAAATCTGTATTTTCTGTGTCTAATGGATTTTTCAACTGTGATGACTCTTTGACTAATACACTTATTACGCTGCTATTTACCCAAACAGCAGCCCGCATTTACCTCATTGCGTATCTGCGAAGAAAATCCCGGGCAGTATTTGCTTTATGCTTTATTCATGCACTATTATCACGGTTAACATGTGCACGAGAATCCAATTTGAAGTCTAGGTTTAATGTTGTCTAAATAGGTGATAAACAACGTATCCTGGTTTCACATGCAACCCGAAGTGTCTGATACAAAGCAGAGCATGATGGTGCAAGAAATTTGCATCCAGGTTGCAAAATGGTCTAAGAGAAGATAGTAAATGAGATTGAGAGGAACGGAGACGAAACTGTGCAGAGATCACAACTTGTCTCTGAATGACAACGACTTATGGTCTTACACACCGGGAACGATACATCAAGCACGATGCGATTTTGCAACTTTCTGGGGGGGACAAAAGATGCGTCCCGGGTGGAAGCGAGAAGACTGACACAACAGCAGACTGACTGTTTTTCAGTTCTGATTAGATTCTAGTGTTAAGATGTCTGTCTGTCATGATAGCATGTACTGAGTCGGGGCCAGTACCAGATAAACACATTAAACTATAATCCATGAACGTAAGTTAACAACCGAGACCTCATGGTGCTGTGACAGCAACGCTATTGAGTTTGAGACAGTGAAAATAGATATGGTATGTTGTATCTGAACAGGTTACAAGGTTACAGGTTACAGCTTACGAGCTAAAGTTACTCAGCACAGATGAAAGTTAAAACAAAGACGTTTATCAAACTGTTAAAGCATACAAACCATCGTCATATGAGAAATCCGACGCTATGACTCCCCACAAGTTTTCCTTCAGGTCATTATCTTTGTAATATTTGTGTCTTTTATCAAAGAGCACTGTGTTCTCCGACACGCAATCTGATTGGTCAGAAGTGGACTCACAGTATGCGAAACTTTAGAAAAATCGTCCGTGAAAGAAAAAATAAGTGCCGCAATATCGCAGGATGGGAAAACTTGCTGAAACGTTTGTATTGACAGGATATGGGTTCAAAAAAAATATTGACGTCCGAAATAATCGCACGAAAAAAAAGGACCCTTACACTGAATAATAAAGAAAAACAAATTGCAAAAAACTGCAGTTCCATAGGTGTCCACTTGAAGCCAGCTCCAAAAACCTCAAAAGTCAGATTACACACATGATAGAAAGCTCAGACTTGCAGCAAAATGTAACACCACAGCTGTGTGTTAAAGTTTGACAGCAGTCACTGCCTTCCTCCTGGTCTAAGCAGTTGTCTGTGTACCTCTTACATAAACCTTTAATTGATTCAGTGTAACCACTGAGAGCTGATTTAACCTTCCTTAATATCCTCAATGGCGCAGTGCGATAGGCTTCTGTCAACAGATCGTCTGATTAAAGTACATATTTGTGTTTCAGTCAACACGGAGGCACCTCCGCTTGAATTTATAATGTTTAGAAAGAAAAACAACAAAATTCCATTCATAATAAGACCTCTCATGCTTTTAAGATAGACTTTTCACATTATCATAAAGACTAATGAGGAGAAAATATGAAAATGTATTTCAGATGCAGTGGGGAAAATAGAAAGTATGGGAGTTTCACAGACATGATGACTAAACTGTAAATTTGAGAATAACATCATTAATTTATGTCATGTGCCGATTTGGAGCAAATAACTACGAGTGTTAAAAGCTTTTTAATTAGAAAAAAAGCAATTTGCATCATTAAAACCCATGATTTAGTATTCATTCAATTAAACCCTTAATTTATCAAAACGCCTATTGGCAGCGTTTCTCATTTGGGGATCTAATACATCTCACCTGTTATGCTTTGCTGTCAGACAACAGACAGTAATAAATTAAAGCAGTATTTTATTTTATTGTAAATCATTGTATTTGTACTTGATGTTACCATTTTCTATATGTTCAGGCCTTACATGTAAATAACACTTAAAAATACGAATCCACTATCTGACTACACTGTGTCCTAAAAATGTCTTAAATTGCTCCAGCGTGACAAACAATTTAAACGGCTGTTTCCTGTGACTGTGTGCGTTTGTCCACGCTCCTTTCAGCCGCATTTATATTTAATAATCAGTCTTCCATTAGAATCAAAGGCAGTCCTCTCTTCCTGCGTGTAGCCATATCATCTGCCTGCGGACGTGAGCGGAGCACCAATTACCCCCGGAGCTATACATAAGGGGATCCAAACGTAGCTTTAACCATCTCTGACATGTCTTTGAGCCGCGGTGCATCAAAGTGTCTGATACCGTGACAATAATGACTGATTCCTTATTAAACGGGGTCATTAAATGAGGTGGCGTGCCTGGGCTGATCTGCTGAGAAGTAAAGAGCATATTGGCAGTTAATAGGTAGAGTAACTCCTGGTGTCAGGTGATTGGCTGTAACATTTTTTGGTTACGGTCCTCTGGGGTGTTACATGCATTGCTGAGCGCATGTGACCTTTATGTTTCATGGGAAAGGGATCTCACTGTAAATCAGGGGAATTACTGACATTTTTTTCCTCCTGTGGGCCTGGAGGCGTCAATTTCTCAAAGACTGATTTTTACTGGTTGCAAAGATTTCCGAATAGTAGTCGGCCGGTCGTTTTGTGAGAAAGACAGAGGAGGGTTTTACAGAAGCGCATAGTGAAGCTCGTTCAATGAGGAAATGTTATACTAATTATAATTACATTTATCAATATAAAAGAGAAGAAAAACGAGAGGGGTCTGACTGCAGACGTCAACTATGAGGATCCGAGGCGACGTTTGTTCTCATGCGCTCCAGTTTTTCTGAAGTGGTCATTTAGTATTTTGTCTTTGTTGAAAAAATAAATACACTAAAAATCATATTAACATTATATACATTCAAACTACTTCTCAGTCTAATCACTTTTAATATGAATTTTCAATTTTCACCACAACCAGAACAGCTCCAATCTGGAATGGCGGCGATTTTCACCACTTGTTCGTCCCTGCCCGTTTGCATGGTGTAAAATACAATCTGCCTGAAAAACAGAGTGTTTTATTTTTAAAAGAAGCCAAATGTTTTATTTTGTGTCTGTGCCCGACTTCCTTTTCAGCACAGGTTAATCTGTACTGAATTTATCCAGCATAGAAATCTTGCGATCAGCTGCGGAGTCCAGCAGACAGAAGCTGGTGGAAATTGACACATTAACTTGAATGGTTAAGATCAGTTACGATCGCTGGATACGGCCTTTTCGTAGCCGTTCCGGATGCGGTGGAAATTGGGGGTGAAGTGAAAATAACAGTGTGCATCCTGGTATATTTGCTTTTATTTTGAAAGGCTTCAAATCACCTCCGGTCCGCTCAGTCTTGAAAAAAACTGTGTGCATCTTGGGTGGATGAGGCTGAAGTTTGGGGAAGGTTAATATCCGACCAACAATCATGTTCTGAAAATTGCTCAAAATCGACAGCGGGGGCAAGTGGAAACAGCCAACAACAGGTTGCGTTGCAGAAATCCTTTCTCTCTCTCTCTCTCTCTCTCTCTCTGGGTGTTTCTTCTCTTTCCTGATGTTTCCTCTCTATTAGGATAAGACGACATTACCCACAAGCGGACTAAGCACCCAAACTTCTTTACTTCTTTAACAATCGATAAGAGAAATCCATCCAGGTATGTCGCCCTTAAAAATCTGGCCCCGCTCCCTTTGGAGCGAAAGAAGTCAGCTTTAATTGATTGGCTGTTAAATGGAAACTCCAAGTTCTTTAGCAAAAGCTCCAAATAAGAAAACTATTTCATTTAATGGCTATTGACAACCCAAATCCAGCAGCCAGAGAGTTATAATGGACAGAGTTTTGAGAGGAGGAGGAGGAGGAGGATGAGAAGCTGTCATCTTCATCGTAACTCTCTTGAAACGAGCAAACATTTCAGAGTAATTTTGCAGCAGCATCTTTGGTGAAGTACTTGCTTTGTTATTGTGAAAAATATGAGATTTGAGGAGGGAATATCGCTGTGACTAACACGTCTCTTGGCTTTGGCGACGGAGGCAGCTCCTGCTGTTAAAGAGCGCTGTGAACGACGCATGAAGCTGAGCTATTACCACCACATTACCGCCCGGTATGGGGCCACGTGTTATAACCGAGACAGACGATTTTAAAAGTGATGATCCTGCTCGGGTAACGCAGGTTAAACACACTCATGAATGTTGTGTAAGCAGTTTGTAACATCTCTGGTCACAGCATGGGGTTGTTGGAGGCAGACGGAGAAGACACTCAAACGACTTTTAGTGGATCAAAATATTCATGATTTGTGTGTTTGTCTTACAGGCTGTTACACTTGGCCCCTCAGTAACCTTTAGATAAATAATAAAACTTCGACTTTAAAAGCATAAAAGTGAAGAAATTTACCACGAGCAAAAAGAGAGCTTTTAATATACCTCTGAAAAGTATTTATGTGTATGCCAATAGAAAATTTATTAGTGCCGGATTGCCGTAGGCCCACTTAAACATACATTTTGCTGTTTATGATGTAAAAATAAGTTGGGGAATGCTCCCTCTGAGTCTTAAGTGGTGATCAGAGTTGTATAATTACAGGTTTAGTCGGTCCCCAGAATGTTTTCAGAGTTCGCTTCGAGCTGCAGCATGTCTGAGTTTAAAATTAAGAAGACCAGGAAATACTGTTTGTACAGCTCCTGCTAATGAGTTCCTTTAAACCCACCGGCTGCTGCCTGTATCTGGTCAAAACAATGTGACCGGCCTACACCTTCAACAAGCCGGGATTTAATGGTGTTAACAAGCTAGGAGGGAAATGCCATGAGAAAAGTAGCCATTAGTTAGGCTGTCAGCTCCAGTCCAGCAGGCCTGCACGAGCCGTAGTTTAAATGTCATCTGTTGGCTGCACAAACAGCCCCGACACTGACTGAATAAAGTCTCCTCCAGCGCTATGAGGGCTTAGTATAATATGGCCTCTGACACAGCAATCAATAGGCTCTGTCTGTGGAGGGACTGCTGTGTTCCTCCCAGGACTGGAGTGGGACGGGCTGGGCTGTAACCTGAACCCGGTGCCAGGAGGGCCGGGTGGATTATGATAGGCAAGGTTGGGAAGCAGGCACAACAGAAACGGAAGCCAAAGTGAGTCAGAGCTTACTGCACAAGCGTGCCCTGTCCCACATTTCCTCCCTCTCTCTCTCTCTCAGTGTGTGTGTGTGTTACAGACCACACACTCATAATGCTGACACACGTATGCAAGGATTTGCGGACATAATCTGCCCGGCCTTCTGCAGAGCTTCAGCTCTACTCACAGCTCTTTTCTGGTTTCCCCTCATCTCTGTTACACCAAACAAAACACAAACATATGCACGCTCATTCTCGTGCCTTTGTCCTGACTCTTTCATCACTCACTCCATCCCTCGTCGGTGTTGTTTTCCGCCCCCGTCGGCCTCTCATAGCTGACTCTCCAGCTGGGACCCGTCCATCCTGACTCCCCCTCCCATCCATCTCAGCCTCTGTTTGGGAGCCAGGAGGGATGAGCTGACTGTCAGCAGAGGACTTGGTACAGGGATTCATAACCTCTTCAATGCCCTCTCAATTTCCCCTCACTGTCTTGTTCCAGACAGGCTCTCTAAAGATTCTGTCAGAGCTCCATGGCCGGACTCAAAAGGGCCGTCTATGAGGAGGACTGGGTCTCTTGACTCATACACACAGAAAAGAGAAAAGACAGACAGATGCAGAGACGGCTCATCTTGATAGATCACTCCTGTGGGACACAAAGAGTGCACAGGGACAGTCTGACAGCATGGATATACTTCTAAACACACACTGAAGATGGAAGGTGGAGGTGACCGAAGGAAGGACGTTTGTGGAGGATCAGCAAAGAGCAAGAAAGCCGGCAAGGACAGAGGATGAAAGGCAGGGATGGAGATGAATCGAGACAAGGCTGGTGAATAGAGAGAAACAGATGATGATGGATGATGGACAGCAAGATACAAGAGAGGGAAAGAAAGAGAGACAGAGAGAGGGAGAGTGTGCAGCCTGTCCTGGCCCGTCTGAGGGGGTTAATGTAAGCCAAACAACAGCACTTTAATAATACACCAACCACGGAGTAAAGACGGATAAACATATAAAAGATTCATCAAGCTGTCATAGAGGAGGGTAATGGTGTGTGTGTGTGAGGGTGCAACCTTTCATACTGACCCGCTCGGGTGTGCGCCATTACAGAAACAGCAACGAATCAAAGCGTCCGCTCTCCTAAAACAAAGTCCACGCCAAGATCTCTGATTGAGTTATGGGCCTGATAAAGTTGGATTTTTTTAGGCTGCTGATAAAATAGAAAAAGTAACATAATATTGAGTGAAAGGAGGGCTGTCGATGGTGAGGCATGGGGCCTCAGCAGAGCCTGTCAACAACAATTCACCGCAACAAAGGAAAAACTCAATCAAAGCATTGTTTCTTCGCGGCAAACAGGAACAGCAGCTCGGTTTTTTATCTCAACCCTGACAGAGCGCGGAGTCATTAACACAGGTGCGAGTATAAAAATGCAGAAAAACCCTCGCACACATGCATTTACACACCCACACACAGGCGCCTTAACATATCCCAAGTGAACCTCGGCTCAGTGTGCCTCCTTTCAAAGCCTCAGTGCTCTTACGGTTCAATTAGTGGAGCCAAATTTATCTCTTGTCCAGCTCCCAGTTGGCCTGTCAATCTCACAGCCAGCACCTGTCACTGCCCTGCTTTTAGCCTGACAGGCTGGTGCACACACACACACACATCAAATACGGGCGTCACACTCCTATACACACACACACATATATATATTTATATGTATATACATGCACCAATACTTGCATCTAAATCCTGCTCATTTTCCCACATGAAGACATTTGTGATTCAAAAGTATAAGAGCAGTTTAAATAGAGATCTTATTAGTTGAATGAACTGATCATTAGGCAGGATCATTGATGTGTTGTATCCAGTAAAAACTCGTCTGGCTTCACACTTGATGGAGCTCACGGCTGAAGATGTACTTGTTGTTTAACCCTGAACTGATGTGGCTGAACGTAGTTGTACGCACTACGCGTGTTTCTGAAGGATACTCCACACCGGTGAGTTCAGGCCGTTTGCAGCCGGATGATTCACGGAGTTAAAGGATGTAAACAGGAGACACAGTGGAGGTTACTGCTCAGTTTTGTTCGGTCTCAATGGGTGACAAACTCACGGGTCGGCTCGAGCGACTGATGGTCGCTGTACAGAACGTTCTGTCTGCACCGCACCCACTCAGTTTTTCCCACATCATCCTCCACACTCAGATGTTACAGTCCACGACTTGTTCCATTTAGGTCTGCAGGTTTAGACACTGACTAATAAAGCTCTGTTTTCTCATGTGTTTGTGACTGATGGGGAGAACAGTTTCTGAAATTGGTCCAGTATTGAGGATTACGATCTTAAGCGTAGTTTGACTGTCCACTACATTGACATTCATGTCGATCATGAACGTTTCGTTTAAAAGAACAGAACTGCTTAGTGAACGATGTGAATGGAATCATTCTGAGACCTGATTCGTTCCTTTCTCAGTTCAGTTGAGCTCAGCTGCGAGCCCGGCGTGCCAGTTGGGAGTGGAACGGCCGCCTTTGACTCTTTGGCGAACGACACACAGCCAGCCAGCCAGCGGAGTCTCATGATTTGCTCACAGCAAATGAACAATATGTATCAGTCAGACTGTGAACGGAACAAAGGACTTCTGAACGACTTGAAGCAGGCAGAGGAGGGAGGGGTGTAGCATTGTGTAAGAACTGCCGAGCACCGGTTCGTTCACTGAGGCTAAGATCAAACAGTGCATAATAATGTCTTTATAATGTCCTGCAAAAAGGATTTAATGTTAGTCGATTAAAAGCAATACGCTATTTGACATCTTTAAAAGTAGCAGAAACCCGCTACAGCTGCGATGTTTATTTTTAACCCTCCACATTTCCGCCATATAAAAGAACGACGACTCACGCTCGATTAGCAGGCGTACTGCACTGCGGGTAGATTTCGTGCACCTTTGGCAGCCCCTTTCATCGAGGCAGAGGGGAGTAAAATAACGGAGGTGAAGAAAAACGAATGTCACCGAGCTGTGAGCAGATATGTGGTCAAAGGGTAGGTCACATAACAAATTATTAGTGTATGGATATGACATATCTTCTGAAGAGTTAATGCAAACAAACCAATGTGTATTATCTTATATCTCACTCAATAAGAATTGATAAGGAATCGTATCGATAAGCAGTATCGATAATGAAATCGTAATCGCTAAAGTCTTAATTCCATCCTTAGTCGCCACCGACAGGCTCAAATTCTTGATTCTTGCAACCAGGAATATGAATCAAGAAGAAAAGCACAAAATAGCTGCATGAGCCACTCAACACAAGCCAGCTGTTTTAATGAATTTGAAATGAAAGCAGGATACTTGTGCCAGAACGAAGAGAAAAAAGCACTCAGTGAGGACACCCCTCCCTCTCTGCTCCCATTATGCCTCACAGAGTTGCAGAAGTTGTACAAAGCTGGATTCACAAATGCACAAAACTCTGAACTTTCGGAGTAGTCCACAAACTACAACTTTCATCCAAACTTTACCTCAAGTATTTCCTGCACACACTTCTTAAAATGTCCTTTCTTTATACTGTCAGATTCAACTTGTAAACTTTACATAAAAGCTTTTGCTGCTGGCATCCCTACCTCGTCCAGCGGGCAAGACTTCAGGTTGTGTAAGCAAGCAATTCTGGCAAATTTCAGGAGGGAGAGCAAATTTTAAGAGGCTTAGGTTACATCAGCGAGTACATGGTCTGTGTTCTCACATGGAAAATGTAACTATTCCTAGCACTGACTGCTTTTTCATTTTAGGTTAGCTTGGAACGCCAATCCAAGCTAACCTGTTCACTATTTGTTTTACAATCCCAGGCTTGCACACTTTTTGCTAGCGCTCCCCGGATTGTTTTGTTGATTTATTTATACATATCATCTTTTTCAGAGGCACCGAGTGAAACATCTGCGTGTGACGATGAAGAGCTAAGCGAACACTAAATTAGAAGGTGGCTGTAAACGTTATCGCCCCATTAATCAAAGCGACAGCGCTCATGCCGCTCACACACGCAGGAATTGTCTCTGGTGACACGAGGAGGCGGAACAGACTTGAGATTGAGCGGCTCCCATCAGCCGGATGACAAAACTGTAACTGACCCCTTGTCTCCCATCTATTTTAGGAAGCGCCGGTGAAGCCCACAGGCTGTAATTTAGCCGGAGTAATGCATCTGCAATTTCATGCTGGCTTTGCTGTATTTTCGGGACAATGGAGGCAGCATGTAAAAAATTAAATAGACTCCTGTGTCATCCTGGATTTGTATGGGTTTGTGGCTTTAGCTGTTCAGGGGGGTTGTGTTTAACAATGCTGCACAAGCCCTCTGCTGTTTTTCCAGGGAAAAGAGTTGCCAGAAAATCAATCAAGGGATGCATGACTACAAATAAATATTTACATTGAGCGGCTATGTCCCCACATAAACACCACTTAATGCCCCAGGTGCAGCAGCAGACATTATTTATTCCCAAATTACCTTTCCACTGTTGCAGACAGCAAAACAGTTATGTATAATGCTTACAAGGGACATCTCTTCGGTGTTGTGGTGCATTTTTAGACACTTCTGCCGTTAGAGAGAGCCAAAATAGAGGACGCTTGCAGACTCTGCAGACAAGTTATCCCTTATTTTTTTAAAATAGGCAATTAATGAACACGCTGGCTGTAAGTTAGCGAGCGAAAGTGGTCAATTCTTCACATTAGTGCAGCTCTGCAGTAAGTTTTCTAAAGGGCTCCGTCCTCCTGGGATTTTTCTAACACATGCATCAGACAGAGGGAGGCCCAGAGAAAAATCTAAAAAACGCTCATTAAAGATAGATCAGTAAAAAATCCCATATATCAGCAGGCGTATAGCTTTCACACTGCAGCACAATGCAGCATCATCTCCTACATTTTTTTCCTGTAAGCATCTGGCCTGCATTTTTTTTTTCCTGTACACATATTTCTTTTCCCGCTTCATCCTCTCTTCTTATCTTTTCTGCAGCATCTCCTCCATCTGCTACCAACAAGTGCACGCTTATTGTGCCTCCTCTTGAGAAGTTTAAAGGGCTTTTTTTTTTCGTCTGCCTCAGGGGCTACCTGGCGTCCCACAGGAGCACCTTGTTATTTGGTGCCTTTATTACTCCGGCGCGCTGCAAACTACGAGATCAAATACCAATCAGACAAATGACAAGCCATCTGCTCCCACAGTAATCCACAACGGCCATGCACTGCAGAGCACTCTTATCCAGGAAGTTGATTACAATAGCAGACCCTGAGACATGCACTAACACTCAGAGACACGCTCACACATCCTACCTGCTGCAGACTAATCAAACTTACACAGCTTAGAGTGGTTAGCCATCAGTACCAGTGTGTTCACTATTATACATCCACTCTTGTTATGATGAGAAATAATGCACTGCGAGGGCCAATAAAAAGAGAAATAGGTACTTTCTATTAGAGCGTTGTCTTTGTGTTAATTGTCCATGTTAAATCTGCGCAAAGAACAAGAAGAGAGAGTTATTTTTACCTTCATACAATAAAAAAATTCATTATTTCATACAGATCAGTGATTCTGTAAAGAGTGAGAGCCAGTGTATAAACAAAAGTGTTTCGCCATCAAACAACAGCGTGAAACACTTACCCGCTGCAGAAAAGTGCCCATAAAAATTTTATAGTTCCCTCATCCAGGAATAACAGAGCCTATGATGAGCGTGGATCTTTATCTGTCTTTAAAGCGCGATAAGAAATGGAGTCAGGTCCCGGTTTAAATCCACGGTCCCACTCGTAGCTATTTATCAGGTGTAGAGTTGACATTTTGGCCAGAGTGTATAGAAATAGAGGTTCATTTTAAGATGGTAAAAATGGGCAGAGCTCCTCCTCATGGGAGACTGAATATGCTCAGAAAATGTCACAGAAAATTACCCATTAGATTTTGATATTTTTTGGAGCACAAGTTGAAATTGTGGCGATAACCAAAAGGTCAGGGTGGAAAGTTATTTTTTTTAAAAACACTGCAAACACAAAGACCTAAAGTTCTTAACATTTCTTTTGTATTATCCTATTAGCGGGCTGACTGGCTCTTTGAGAATTTCTTTTATTTCTCTTATTTTTTTGAGTCTTTTGGCCTTATTTTTGAAGGGAATAGTCAGCTCAACAAAGACAGGAAAAGGGAATAAAGAGAGCGCTGGTAGACATGTTGAAAAAGGTCCAAGCTGGGAGTCAGTCCCACAACCGCCATCTGGAGGGCGATCGCCTCTACATTAATGTATACTGTCACCATAAGGCCAAGCAGCTTTGGCACCTGGATGGTTTGGAGAACTTGTCTGAAACAAAGGAAGTGGCCCAGTTTGTTTGTACATTCAGAAAGCCGCTGTCAATATTTTTAACAAAAACATGCTAGCTTGGTCTTACTGTAAATATTAGGGATGTAACGGTATTGTAAATATCACAGTATTTCTGTTTCAAAACTGTTGCAATAATGCCTTAGCATGTGACAGTATCAAACAAGAACTTGGGGAACTCCCGCTAGTGTAGTTTTCTTCTGCTATAGAGTGGGCAAACCACATCTCCCATGATCCCCTGCACAGTGCCGGAAGAGATGGCAAATAGTACAGAGGGGGGACAGAGTGGAAAACTTTTATTAATAGAACCTACCGGAGTTTAAATCAGAGGCATTTTGGTTTTGTGGGAAACAAAAATGAACAAGGAGAAGAGATGAAAAAAACTGTTTGCAGACACAGCCAGATTGTCTACAATTTAGGGAACACAAGTCATATGACAAGCCACTTGTTGAACCATCATTTAGAAACGATTCATGACGCCAAACAAAGAAGCAAGCAAGGCATATTATATTAACTGCAGAAGAAGTAAATACCGCAATAATACCGAACTATCGACTTGATACCGTGACGGTATTGTACCGTGAGATTTTGATATCCTTGCATCCCTAGTATAGGGCTGTCTGGCTTTGTCCGGGGGAGTTTATAAAATCTGTCTGGGGTTTTGTATGGAAGTTTTGAGTTTGTGTTGCGTAGACTTACTGAGTTAGAAGAGCGTAAAAATCACTCAACCTGACCCGAAAAACGGTCAAAATTTAAGCGTGACTCCATGACACTGCCCCCTGCGTAGTCGTGTTCTATTTTTGGGGATTCAGAATATGGTCACCCTATTCTAGTATATTCCTTTCTATAAATGTAAAACATTCATTAATAGTGCAAACCGGCCACCTGTTACAGATTTTCATATAGAAGCAATTTTCAACAATGTAGCAAAACTAGACAGGACAACTGTCTCACCCGTCCAATCCTGGTATAAATCTAGACTTCAGGTGAAGCAAGAGGGAAACACTCAGTTGTTTCTGTTCACCTGGAAAATTCTGGACATTTTCAGGAACTTTGTGTATGTCTAAACGGGGCTTTATCTGCCATATAAAAGCAATGGCATGCTAATAATTAATTAATTCTGACAAAAATGATCCTGCCTGAAATAACATTTGGAGTGCCAGACCCTTTTAGTAACTCGAGCTTTTTAATTCCCAAAATCTGCTCGGACTTTTATTCAATCTGAGCGTATAATGTTTCATATTAAAAACACTACATTTTGTACCGTGTTTCCATGTCTTTGAGTGTCAGCACTAATAACCACTGAAGTTAATTTGTGATGAAGTACCATTAACATAGAAAAGAGAGTTTTCACTGACAGACTCGAGCTCCTGGCAGCCATTGTGGGTGTCCTGTAGAGTACAAGCAGTGAAAGTGTAGTATAAACTCCCGGCTAGTTTTTCAAGGTGACATGAGTGCCTGCATTACTACCTCTCACTCCTCCTGACCTCGGCTCAAGTATAATTGGACGAGCCAGACCCGTCCATCTCGTCTTTATTGGTGCCAGCACAGCCTCACTTTTTCTTTCCCATTATCCCCTCTAGCTATCTCAGCCGAGTGTAATGCTCGCTGTATCTAAACACAGCGAACCATTTTAACAAACAACACCGCGCCGCATTTCAGCGCTGCATTTACAAATATTAGCATTAATGCAAAATGTATTAGGAATAGATAAATGGAGATGAAGGTGGGTGAGTGTTGTTCTCACTCCCTGAACTCCTGCCAGTTAAACTATCTCCACAGAGTGTCAGGTTGAGTGGAGAGGACGAGCACTGAGAATTTTTATGAGGCGGAGTAATTAGGAAATTGGATCCTGGCTTGTATGGACTGGTGTGCAAGCAGAATAAAATAAACTCCGTGTGAGAGTATGTGTGTGTGATGTGCAGCTGAATTGGATTGTGTAACTGAGTTAGAAGAGCTTACTGGGGGTGAATGTTCCTGAATGTCTCCGTAGAGGGTGACTTCAAGTTATGAAACAGTTTTCTTTGGAAAAGATGTGTCACTGTGGGACACGTCCTCTCATGGGGGATTCTCAGGGTCCAATTCTGTCGAAAAAAGCATCTCCGAGCAGTGCAGGTCTGCGTTTCACAACCTTCCAACCACCTGCAAGTCCCAGCTTCGTATTCCAGTGGAAAACTAATCTGACAAAATATCTTTCCTTGCCTTTGGGGCATTAGGATTACATGTTTAATCTATAATTATCTTCTACTTAAATCACAATCTCATTATAGGACAGAAATTCTCGCTTGCCTGCAACCAGCTTTCTGGAGGAGCCTGTCTCATTAAGTCCCATACACAAAGGAAAGCTGATTAATAATATCTCTGATTTAAATCCTGAAAAATTAATTTGGAGAAGTACATCTCAACATTTGACAAATCGTTCAGACCGAAAGAGCAAACGGGAGAGGAAGAGGCCAAATCACAGAGGAAAAACGTCTAAATTTATCATATAGAGCAGTGAAATGAATGATGAGCAAAACAGGAGCCGAAAGCGACGTCAGGAATATCAATTAATCTTTATAAAGCACCAATTTAAAATAATGTGATCCAGAGATCTAGACCATACTCTACATACAAAGACTCAATGTAAAGGTGGGATAAGATCGAGCCCTTTCTTGTCAGATCAGACCCATTCCCATCTCATCTTTAACCACACAGGTGGAGCACTTTGCAGCTTTTAGCAAGTTAGCGTGTCGAGCAGAAAGTTTGTGTAACAGGCAGAAACCCTGAGCAGAACCAGACCCATGTTAGACATGGGGTTTAGGCCTTGTTTTTACGTACCTGGTTATTTTAAAAAAAACTGAGACATTAACTATCGTTTGCACCCTTCATTAGACGCAAATGGAGAATTCGCCCCTGATAACGATGATTTTTGAAAACTCTGGCCAGAGTGGAGATTTTGAAAAACTTCATTTGCAAGTTTGCATGTAAAGAAAAAAGGGGAAAGACAGAGATTTGGGTAGCGGACGGTAGATTGTGCGCAGGAAGAAGGAAGGGACGTCGTTGTTGTTGCTGCAATGCGGGATTCTGATTGGCTAACGTGGGCTTGAGTTTCTCGCTACACTGCTACCAGCATGTTTGATATGCTCGACGGCATATATACATGGGCTAGTGTAAACGAAAACTTTCCTAAAAACTTAGTGGTGTGCATGCAGTTTTTTTGTAAACAGAGAGGGTTAAATGTCTGTTTATGAAAACAGCCAGGCACGTGTAAATGTAGTCTTAAGGTCCTTACACACAGGAGCGTTTTTTTCGTGCATTTATTTTGGATGTCAATATTTTTCAATATTCAATATTCAATAGTCAATATTCTCCAGAGACGGAGAGAAGCAAAATCAGACTGCGCATTTGATGTGTTTAGTCAGGCAGGTCAAAATTTGCCTCTGAATATTTCATAATTTCGCGTCGTATATTTGCATCGTTCCCGGTGTGTAAGGACCTTTAGAGAGAGTATAGAGGCAGATGCAGAAAGAGAAAAATGGACAGAGCTGAGATTGATGCACCTAGTTGAAGTGATCCAGAGGAATCTACGGCATGATGGAGCACAGGGACTCACAGAAAAGACTGTGTATTCATGGCTCTAATGGGGCATGATGATTCAAAGTTTATGATATGCATTCAGTAATAAGGTATATAAAAGATTTGAGATCACATGTATGCAGAATATGGTTAGATTGGTCGAAAACAGTGACATTGGTTGAAGAAACTGTAAAGTCTGTCACCACTGCAAACCTATTCCCTGTATTCTTTGTTGAAGGTTACAAGCAATTCCACCGGGGCTGTAGTTGGTGTTGGTTTTTGCACAAACAAAGGCAAAGATAAGGAAAAAAACTGCACAGAGGTGAACATGAATGCTGACAGTGCAGTTTAAAGTTATTCCAGCAGTTGGCTTTAGAAATACTGAGGGAAAAAATGCATTCAACAAGCAAAGGCCTCAAGGCTCAACACAAAGCGTTATAGTGAGGAGAAAGAGTGAAAAGGGACGACTCAGCTGCAGAGTGAGGTTACTTTGACAGTCTCTGACCAGTGGGCCTAACCTGAACATCAGGATGCTTCTGTTTGGACTGAAAGATGAATATTTATTAAAATAATTTCACCTGTCATTGTTGCAGGAAAGCGTTACTCTCCTAAAAAGGGTCAGAGGTGTCTCACATGTATTAAAAATCAGAACACCTCACCTTGAGAAAGGGATGTCCAACAACAGCACGTTATTGCTGATAAATTGTTTCCACATTGCCGAACTTCTCTGAAATGGTTTTGCATCGTCAAATTTCCAGATAAAAAATGATTTTATGCATGCTGTCTCTTTGATGCCACTATTTGCAATTTCCCTTTGTGCTGTTTTTGAGGTTATCTTCCTTTGCCATGGCCTTGATGGTGCAAATTTCCTGAAGAAGAATCAAAAATGACTCATCTGCCACCCCCGCCATCATCCATCACGCGATGGTTTTATCAATAGTTTCATCGTCTGCACAGTTTCCAGGAGAGCTACGTGACTGGGAGAGGGCAGAGTCTGTGCACCGGGGAAATTTATTGCAAAAATAAAAGACCCATTAATACAATTTGTGACCAAAATACAAAGTCTGACTGAGAAAAACACCTAATACCAGGAATCAATAAAGCTAAAAAGGTAAAATTAAGCTTAGGTTTCTGGGAAAGTGTCTTACATTTATTGTGCTTTGGGTTTAAAGAAGTCATTAAAGCATGATCAGTAAAAATACCCCACCTCTGTGCAAGATAACATTAATTACCTCCATTACGTCAGGCCCATATGCTCTGCAAAAATTGGAAGTTAATACGACGTTGATGCCGTCTGTCACACAGAGCATTAATGGAAAACCATCCGCAAATCCATAAAACCCGACAACACTATCACACAGCAAACCTGCAGTGTGCGAGGGAATCAGGAAATCCTACTTTTCTGTCCCCAGATGTTTGCAATACACCTTCCTTTATTGGAACTATTTTTCCTTACCCCCACTCAGGATCTTGTCGGAGTGTTTGCAGTTGTGAGTTGGAGGGATTGAGGGATGAGAGCAGTGTTATCAAAAAGCAATCTCAGTCGATGGAGAGGAGATCCAGGCTGCAGAAAAGTGGCTGTGTGGCAAATAGTCGTGTGAGAAAGAGAACATATACTGCGCCGTCGGCCCGAATACAATAAGGAGTGGCAAATGCTTTTATCTCATGGGTAATTATCAGGTTACACTAACACTTCACCTCAGCCTGTGATGAAATTCAATCCTGCTTTGTCAGCCTTAGTAGAGTCTCCACGATATTAAATCACTTTATTCTCCGCGTTTTATCACGGGCAGCAAAATCTCCCCGAACTGTTTGTTTTCTTCGTGTCACTTACAGGGTGACTTTCACCCCCAAATACACTCTACAGGTGCAGTGGGCAATTTTGGAATAATATCTGCAATAAACTGCAATCCAATGCCAGTGAGAACGGCACTTAATATTCCCAACCAGGTCATTACATTTCTGTCAATCTTCATTCTTTTCCCTTTCTGAGCCTGGATATCAAGGTCAACCGTGTTCATCTCGCTCAGTCAGCCACAGGCGCAGAGTCTTGTGACCAACAAAAAGAGCGGTGCTGTGGATGACACTGTGACAGCTGCTGAAACAGCTCACTGTTAGTGCAAAGGTAATTCACCTAGCGTTTTATTGCCGCAGTAGGGTACATCAGTATTTCCCAGAACTTGTTTAAATGCTTGATTATCAAATCAAACCACACTGAGCTAGACAGAGAGCCCTGTATTAAAGCTCCTCTGAGAAGTTTTTCACGTTTATTAAATAGACTGAAATTCATATTGAAGTCTTTATACGACATCCAAAAGCAAGCAAGAGCATCAGCAATGAGATTTAGCATTTTGATATTTTGATTTTTAATGCCTGAAACTAGGGCGACCGGATGTCCTGTTTACCAGATATAGGGTTTCTCATTGCCAGGCCGGGTCCTGGTTTTTGTCCTGGTTTTCAGTAATCAAATTTGGTCACCCTATCTGAAAATAGTTCGAGGGGGTAGCTGTTAGCCGAAGCAAAAGCCCTGTTTCCATATAAAATGTTCACAGTAAACTAAAAAGTCAGCAGAATGGGAGTTTGTCAAAAGGCACTATAACGAAATATATACATCACGAGCTAAACGGAGACTGCTTTGACTTCTTTGTCCACAAGGGGGCACCAAAGCTGACACAAAAATGTCAGACAGTAAAAATGTCAAAGTAAAGGTCCGTTCACACCGGGAGCATTTTTTTGTGCGATTATTTCGGATGTCAATATTTTTTCGAACTTGTATCCTGTCAATACAAGCGGTCACATCTGTGATGTTTTTTACCGTTGATGATGGTTTCATCTGTGCTAAGTAACTTTAGCTCGTAAGCTAACCTGTTCAGATACAACATACCATATGTATTTTCACTGTCTCAAACTCAATCACAGCGTTGCTGTCACAGCACCATTAGGTCTCAGTTGTTACCTTACGTTTATGGATTATAGTTTAATGTTCTTATCTGGTACTGGCCCAGACTCAGTACATGCCATCATGACAGACAGACATCTCAACACTAGTGTCTAATCAGAACTGAAAAAGACTCAGTCTGATGTTGTGTCAGTCTTCTCGCTTCCACCCGGGACATGTCTTTTTTCCCCCCACAAAGTCGCAAAATCGCATCGCTTGATATGTACAGTCAGGCGCGTCAAAATTCGCCTCCGAATATTTCATAACTTGGCGTTGTATGTTTGCGTCATTCCCAGTGCGTAAGGACCTTTAATCTTACAAGTTGTAGGAATAAACAAATGCAGCCTTCAGGAGTTCCTGTTTGATTTTTCTCCTTTATAAAGGTGTTTGTAGAGAAACTGTTCCTGACAGTGGTCATGTCATGTCACTCATTAAACAAGTTGACTTCTTCCTTTTAGTTTCCTCTACGGGTCAGCAGCATTTGCACACTCCAAAATCGTGCTTTCCCATCTCTCATGATATTTGGTGATATTTTAATTCTGTTTGAAGCAAAGTGCATATTACTTATTACTCGTCAATGAGCCATTTGTGCCATTCAACAGCGACAGATGGTGTTATTTTCCATTACCACAGCAACAGAGAGCAGGAAGAGTCCGGCTCAAACAGATCAGTTTATATTTTTCATGACTCTACTAGATCATAAAACTGAATATACACAATACACGCTTCTGCATTCATATATTCAATGTGTAAAAATAGACAATAAGCCCTGTCAAACAAGTCCCCCCTCTCATAATCAGGTCAGAGTTATTTTTTATACTGTTTATTTTTAATGTGTTGTGTTGTAATTATGGGCCCTGCTTTGTTTTTGCTCCAGAGGGTCACTAATATTTTAATCTGGCCATGCTTAAGGACAAATATACACAAGAGTAAACTACAATGCATACTGCAAAAAAATCCCACACTAATTAGCTGCAGAAGCGCACAATTCTTCCAGACTGCAGAGATAATGCGCCCCCTTGTTTACCCAGATGTGAGCATGTCAGACTTGGAGCTATAGACATGCATTAGGTAGAAACATCATTATTCTCTAACTTTGTATCAAAATCAGTCTTAATTGGTGACGTGGTCTGCGGATTAATTGTGACCTGCGCTCAAGTCCCTCCTGTGTTCAGGTATGAAAGCAGGTACAGCATGCTGCAGTGGTAAAGCTCACTGTTTTAGCTTCTCATTCAACACCTGCACAAAGTCTTTCAGGCCTCTTTCCATGTGAGGCCGGCAGGCAGAGTCAATACTGTGAAATACGGTGTGAAAGCTATTGTAAAGCCATGCAAGTTATATTAATCATCAGGATGACGCATTATGGAAAGAAAAATTGCACTTTGGGGACTTTTAATCATACTTTCCCACAAAGTCAAATTGAAGGAGAAGTAAAAATTTAACCACTGAACTTTGGGAACTGCTTAAATCAAACTCTGAGTCTGGGAGCATAATACCAGGTTAATAGCAGTCTTGTGTAGGTCTGCTATGGCTGCTGCTTTTATATTGCTGCTGACCCACAGTCTTCTCTGCTCAGTAATACAGGCACAAATGAGTGCAGTCCTTGTTCTCCTTTCAGGGAATTGGAGAGGTTTTTTTTTATGATTGAATTTGAGATTTATTTGATAAACGTTCACCAAATGTGTATGCCTAAGCTTCTTCAAACTTCAATTTAATGACAATATCATCAGGGGGCTTATGTCTGTGGTAGACGTGGATTACAAGAGTTAAAATGAGAATGACTGGATGAGACTGAAGTACAGATGGTTGATTGTTGCTTTTGGTGACAAATTTAACCGTACTAAGATATTTATCATCCAAAAAACTTAGTGCTTAAAACAAAACAGATGACATTTTTTAATGTTTTTCACGTTCCATTTGGAAACTCACACAGCTTGTGGAGCTGCAAACGGGTTTGCTTGAGCCCCAATATCACAGTGCTGCTTTTGATTTTTAAAGGGCTGAAGTAATGCAGACTATTTCTCTGAGGCATGTATTTTGTTGTTGTTGTTGTTTTTGTTGTTGCCGCGGTGATATTGATTTTGTAGATATTAAGAACAATCATGATATTGAAGTGAAATCCCAACATATTTCTAGTCAACTCTCTATGGGGCCACACACACTTTTGTGCATCTATGTGCTTGTGTGTTTCTTGCACTTGTGTGTCTGCTGGTGTACGCTGTGCTCCAGGAGGCCGGCTCCCAGCTGTCAGGGAGTGCAGCCTGCAGTCAGTCAGGGGGAACAGGTCTGTGTAAGCTGCCAGTCAGGCCCAGTGCTGCAACTGCTGTCCCTACAGTAATGATGATGGGGGAGCACATCCACCAGCATCCACCACTGCAGGAGCTCATTAAGGGAAAATAATTGGGAGTTTGTTAAAAACAACAGTCCTCAGGCCAGGGAGACAGGTGTTTGTCCACATTTGGCAAAACATGGCCCCACTTAAGATGGATGGATGGATGGATGGATGGATGGATGGATGGATGGATGGATGGATGGATGGATGGATGGATGGATGGATGGATGGATGGATGGATGGATGGATAGATAGATAGATAGATAGATAGATAGATAGATAGATAGATAGATAGATAGATAGATAGATAGATAGATAGATAGATAGATAGATAGATAGATAGATATAGAGTGAGATAGATATATAGATTATAGAGTGAGATATAAAGAGATAAGTATAGATAGATAGATAGATAGATAGATAGATAGATAGATAGATAGATAGATAGATAGATAGATAGATAGATAGATAGATAGACGAAGATTAAGAGATAGTGATAGAGAGTTAGAGATCAATATAGAGGAGATACAGACAGACAGATAGATAGTTAAGTATAGAGATAAACATAGATATAGACATATAGAGATAGAAAAGATAGATGTATAGATAAAAATAGATAAAGATAGATGTATACAGATAGAGATCAAGATTGATAGATATAGATATAGATGAGTAGATTTGTCTAAAGAGTATCCATCATACATACATACATACCTTTATACTTGCTTGTAAACATATACATGCAGACACGCATAAATATTCTTGCATGCATGCATGCATACATGTATACATGCATTCATACATATATGCATTTATGTGTACCTACATATACAATTTATTTTATACACATAAATGCACACATAGATACAAAAAAATAGATAAAAAGATCTGTTCATTCAGATGGGATTTCTGTAGAAGAGAACCTGTGAGGAACTGCATAAGCATGCAGCGTCTGGATTAACCCTGGTATTCTAGTTTTCTGCATTTGTTTATCTGCACACATATAAAAGGGTCTGATCTCCAGTTTCAGCCACAAACCACCGACATCAATTACCTCCTCTCTCTGCAAAGCCAGCAGACATGCCCGCTGCTGTCGACACACAGGGCGACACAGCAAGACCCTCAGACAATAGAGGCAACACTGGTCCAATCACCGAGAACAACCATGAGACTCTATTAAGTAATAGCGTGAACACTTCACAGCAGCGATTGCCACTCTGTTACGACAATCAACAGAATCACTGAAGCAATCCGTGGGTCAACAAGTGGCATCGTTTGTCAGCAGTCTCACTAAAACTGAGGTTTTGGCGGGTGATATAGGGCGTGTATTAAACTGAGGGCTCTCATCGTCAAATCCTGTTGCCTCTAGGATAAAGGCTCGGGCCAGACGACATAAATTGCAGAGCCATGGCTCCAGGTTTAGATTTGTATATAAGTGCACAGACAGACTGATTGATTGTATAAAAGACGTACAGATAAAAGATAAAGGGGTCTATACATGGTTGATGACTAGATAGATACGTAGATAATTAGAGGATAGATGCTGATGGATGGACTGATTGGTGGACATTTGATTCGGCTCCTCCTCTTGTATCAGCAGCAGCTCTGATTAGCCTCTCATACAAACAATCCTGAAAGCCTCTTCTGATTCCCCGCTTTTACCCAGCACAGACAATCACTATAATTATTATGGCTCTCAAATAAGTGAGAGTTGGAAATCTTTTAATGGTGCAATCTAAAATTAAACACAACACATGTAAACACTGGCATGGAAGGAGAAACATGTAATTACTGGTAATTACAGAGCCAGATTTTAGCACGGCAAAGTCAATCAATCTCCGGAGCTGAAGAGGAAACTGCAGCTTTAAAGGATTTTTTCAGGCTAGGAAAGTTAGGGTTTGTAAATGCAGTGGAGATGTGATTTAAAACTCCCCGGGTTATTATGAAATATTCATCTGCAAGACGACAAATCTGTCCATAAAGGAAAAGGAAGCGGCGCTTTTTTGATTCCACAAAACGACACAAAATTTCAGTCCCATGAAGATGCTGTGAAACTGGCAAATAGGCGCCTAATCCGCCTTAATGTCTGGGAGTGGAGATGCATGTCATGCGGTGATTACGCTGCCTGCTTCCGTGTTTCACATGTTCCTCCCCGAGCAGGAGGGGGGGGTTGAGATCTTTGGGAAGCCTGACTCAACCGTTAGGAAGCAAAGCTCAACCCGAAACCATGACTCGAGAGGAAAGGATTAGACAGACATCACTAACCAAAGACACAAGTCACTTTTGTGACATCTGGCAGGTGCTCTAAACTGAGCCACCACATGATGTTCTGATCTAAATCCTGTTTTTCTCCAGCTAAAGTTACAGGAGTCTCAGGGTTAGTACAGTATCACTGTGTGCAGAGCTGCTTTGTAAGCGCTTATTGAAACAAGATCAGAACGCTTTTTCAGGGTTCTCAAGAGACAACATGTGGGTGTGAAAATGCATGCAGATTATAGGGCTGGATGCGGCTTTATCAAATACATTAAGCTCTAATTGACCTTCTTAGAGAATATGAACAAGAGCAGCACATCCTCCATGTTTAAGACCTGATTTAGTTCTTCTTATTCTCATTGTCTTAAGTTGTTTAGTTCTACAAAAGTCATGTTGTAGTGGCAGGGTGCATGTCGCTCAGATGTTAATGCACTTATTAAAGTTGCTGCCTTGGGGTGAATGCATTTAAATGATCCAGTGGAGCAGCAAGAAACATAAAGATGCATTTTTGAGTCTGCAAAAATAAAACGCATAATAAATATATGTATGAAGCATTATTATCATGTTATAGCACTGTATATGAATAGTTATAAACACTCATAAATGATCATAAGGCTTTATTGCCATATCCATATCGCATTATAAAGCATTGTATCATGACTTACAAGGTTAGGTATTATAATGTGTTATAACTGTTAACCCTCTGACAGTGCCTACATAGATAATGCATTATACACATATTTATGATGTCTTATAATTTGCTTATAAACTTGTATAACAATCATTATAAACACTTATTAATTATCATAAGGCTTTATAACAATAAGGATAACACATTATAATACCCGGCCTTTACGTCATGATAAAATGCTTTACAATGTGTTATGATTATTGCTATAAAGCATTATGATCATTTATGAGTGTTTATAACTGTAGTTATACAGTGCTATAACGTGATTATAATGCTTTATACATATATTTATAATGCGTTATTGCGATAGGCGTCAATTAAGTTCTACCAAAAAGTTCTCATATTCTTGAAGGCAGTCAATGAGCTAAAAACTAAACATGGTGTGAAATGCATGCTGGATAAACCCAACAGTCAGAACAATAAGCACAAGAAACACCTCGAGGAAATAGCAGAAATAATATGTGGAGATGTTACTGGATATTAAAGTGCTATTACAGCCATACAGTAACAGCGGCAGGGTATTGGAGGATGTGTGTTAGTCATAGGTAAATGTTTGTTTTGGAGCCGGGCTGTGCTCTTGGCCTTCGGAGAGCGAGGTTGTGAAGTCTGTTGTACATGTTGTATTCTCGCCGGGTTATGAATGCAGACTGCTTGTGTTTATATTCGGCGGCGTCAGTTACGGCTTCATATCGGTAGTGAAAGGTCTCGCAGACTTAAAAAAATAAAATGTGAGCACACTTGTATGATCCTGTTGTCGTGTCTCTGTATGCTTTGAAAAGTCCCTTAAAGTGTGACAGTGCAGAGGACACTATTGTTGCAGCATTGTAAATATTTAGACAGTTTGTGTTACCTACTCTTTTTGCTCTGTCTCTTCATAAATAAAAGTATGAAAATGTTTGTAAGAGCATGTTTGTGTGATATTAGCAATTTTGAAGATGAGCTGGAAAATGTCATTGCCCAGATACTTAGCTTTAATGGAGCATGACAGAGCCACTGGCTGTCTCCCAGCTGAAACAGCCTAATTCATAAAAGAACATACAAATAACGCTTTGCAGAATAAAACCGCAAAACACATCAAGAGATATTGCATTCGCAGTCTTTCATCAGGCATATGGAGGCTGCTCCTAGTGTTGATTGCTTCTGATAAGATTAAACATCCAACTTCTGGCAGATGATCAGAGCTGTGCAGCTGTAATTACTGCAGCAGTGAAGCTTTAAAGTGTTTGGGGCGATGTGAGAGGCACCGGGGTTGAAACAGAATACGGGTTGCTTTGTGTCCACTCAATTCTGACCACATCATACTCTTAAAAGAATGAGCGGGGCTCAAAGATAGCTGCTGTCCAGAGATAATGATAGCCTGTCACATTTTTAGGGCAGCAATTATGCAGATTTTGTTTAAATGGCTTCCAGAGCAGAATGTCACTCAATAACAGACTCCAGCTCAAACCCAGCCAGACAGATCCTCCCTCAGCACCCCCTGATTGGCAGTTAGGACAAAAAATGGCACGGCATCCTCAAGTAACTCCTTATGACAGGCCCGAACAATAGATTTATAGGTAGAAATTGGTCAAAATACAGAGAAATACCTGTATCAGCTCAAGCATATCACTGCAACAGATGGCAGATTTAAATACATAATATTATGAGTTCATTATCTCAAAGTCATGCAGGGTGTTCTCTCCTCAAAGTGAGAGCTATTCCTCTGGAAGCATTACTTTTTTAATTGCAGCCAAGTTCACTGGTTTATATTGGCAGAGCTCAGGCTTGTTCAGCTCCTTCTATCCACAACATGTCTGAAAATTGTCCAAAAGAGGGAGAAAAAAAAATCGATGATGTTAAACTTTCGCACTACTTTTTAAAATCTGCTTCCTCTTAATCTGCCCTGTCTGCGCCTGCTTCAATTACCGGTTTTCTAAAGTGTCTTTCAACAATCTTCAGAGACAGAAACACTGACGCATTTACTGAGCTTTCTGAACATCCACAGCAGAGTGAGGGAGCCTTTTCAGGTTTAAGAAAAGTGAGAATCACGCCTGTAACTCAGGAGCATACATGCTTTGTGAACTGACACTGCATCACCGTCTCTCTTTATGTTGCTTTTGTGAACAAATTGGCATCTCTGAGTCTGGTGAGACATATTTCTGCCTGTGTGATTTTTTGAATGTCAGCGCGAATGGTGAGTCAGCAAAGGATAATCTGTGAGGGTGACACCAAAATCTTTACCAACGACATAAATATTCTGCTGCGACGCTCTGAAATAATTGATGTCCTCTAGCTGCCTGGGAACATTTAAGGTGTCTACTTCTGGACACTTTTCTGATCCAATAAACGAATAAACAAACAGATTTGCTTCAGTTTTAACACCTTAAACCTTAAGGACACAAATATTACAACTTTTAAACTGTTCTTATTATCATTAACACATATGGTTACAGCTACTCTGTTGCCTGGACAACATTGTAAGATCTTGTTCTGCTCTCATACATGTGTGTCAGTGACTGTAATTTTTTCTGACTCTCAAATGCAGCTAAAGACAGAAACTAGGGATGCACAGATCGGAAATTTGGATCGTATATTGGCTTCGATACTGACAAATTAACTGGATCGGATATCAGATGAATAATGCCAATCCAGCATTCCGATCCAATAATGTCAAGCCTGATGCCTTCACTCACAGGGCAAGCTATACAGTTCATTCATTCAACAGTAGTATTGGATCATTTCGGACTTTGGCTGATATGCTCAGCCTCGGTATTGTATTGGGTTGGATCTGAAAAAATGGATTGGTGCATCTCTAACAGAAACCACAGTGCTTTCTTTTTTTTTTTTGTCACAGTGTTAACAGGCCCGGCTCCTTCCCCATAGCTGTCAGCTTGTAACTATCAGGTTATCTCCTGGTTGACGTGTTATCTATCAAAACAGCTGGTTTTGATCGGTTCATCATTTTACGTCCTTTCCTCATCTACCATGGTTTTGTTTATTACCTGGCTTTTCGATAAACTGCGCATGCAAACAAACAGCCATGCGCAGGTATGTTAGTCCCACTAAGAGAAGTTCAATTCCAGTCAAAGTAATGTGTTTACATGCATTTTAGAAATCCAGTGTCAGTCAGACTTTTGCAATAAATTGATTTTTTTAGGTGCATGAAAACAAACTCAGTGTTTCTGACTGTGGTGCTACTAGATATTTTGCTCATGTAAAAAATTCCAGCTGCAAAAATAAAGAAAAATCAGTTTAGCTTTATATAGTGTGAAGTACACGTTATAGTTATCATTAGATGCGTCCAATACTATCAGCATGAGTTTGAAATATCTGATATAGTTACTGTACCTGTCAGATTGAAAAGCCCTTCTTTGTTTCTACGCAGAGGAATATTTCACTATCCATGCATAAACATAACTCAAACTGGGACCTGTGAGTGTCTTTATAGATATGCTGGAAGAAAGTGCCAGCTCAAGCCTCGTCAATTTCAGTAGAGAGGCTGTCATTTGCTATTTGAATAGCGACACCCCAGCCGACAAGTGCACCTGACTCTTAAAGGGAATGAGAGCAGACACTCTGATTGGTTCAATTCCAAAACTCACCTCTGAATAATCAATCGGCCTCGTCTCACTTAGCGCCTCGATTGTGCTTCTCTCATCTGGCAACACGACTCGGGTCATGGCCTGATTCACTTTACTCCTATTTAAACTATGAAAAACGCGCTTCAGTCTGCGCTTTTTAAAGAGTTTAATGGGTCTCTTTGTTTGCCAGTAGCGCCATTTAAGTAGATAACTTACATGGCAAAATCCCAGTGTGGCTAATATAAGCCTGAAAGTATTCCCAGAGTGAAACTGGTCGAATTATTGCTGTAACAAACAGCTGCTTCCTGTGATCACAGCCACGGTTAAAAGACACAGAGTGGCCGGTTAGTTAGAGCGCACATTCATGTTGTAACAAGCTGAGCAGATGCAATTCTGAGGAGTTAGTAACATCATGACACGGTTTTTCTCCTGTCATGAACTGTGAGAGGGAAATTGGTGAAAATGCCATCAATCACTGTCTCCTCAGCAGGACTGGCTTGTTAGTGTTGTCAGTGATAGTACAGATGATATTCTGCTACAGGTGAGCACAGCAGACTGAATGAAAATGGACAGTGAGATAAAGATGAAGAGGACATGTGGAGTGGCTCTGAACTGACTCCTGAAAAGGAGAGGCTCTCTGGGAAGAAGACTCATAAACACTTAAAATGTGAGGAGCAGGATGTTTAGACCCACTGCAGAGTTCAGGGCAGATCAGTCAGAGTATAATGATGCCGCTCTGTGGGAAGTCACTCCTAACAGTGCCATGTTTTCACAGCAGGGTAGATAGAGCTGCCCTCGAAATTCAACAGGAGCTATTTCTGCAGAAGAGTTCACAGGGGATCATTTTCATGTCCGCAGAGAGGCCAGACCGGCTCATAGGAGACGTCAAAACAAAAAAATAAGAGGGGTGCAAATGTAAGGTCATCCCTTTAACACTGTCGACCAGTAAGTGACTTTGACCAATCCAAGAATAAACTACCTTTAGAGATTCAGCGTTATTCAGTACCATCTTCAGATTTATGCTGACAGATAAAGAAGTTGTCTGCCTTTTCTGTTTTTTTAAACTGTGAAAAATTTGTAAAAGAAAAGGTCATTAATCAAGGTGGATGGGATGAAGAGGAATTAGGCATGCTACTACTGCTTAATGAACATTTTTCACCATTTTTGCCATTTTTTCTTAAATGGATTCATCTGCAGTTCTGCAGACAAGGCAGTTTATATGCACCCTCCACAGTTTTTTGAGAGCACTTGCCTCTAAATTGGTAAATTTTGGAAGAAAATGGGTCACAATGCATACGTAAGTGGCTGATTTTCAGTCTTGCCCCCCGGATAATGAAGATTTTGCCATTTTATTTATTCAGGTGCATGATTAATCCCCTGTATCTGTTTAAAAGGAGAAAGTCAGAGAGGAAAATGTCACTTAAAACTTCATTGAGTTGTTGAACTACTGTACAAACGCGGATGATCACATGCTTGTGTGATATTTAGAGTGGATAAATTAACCCACCAGCAGCATGAATAATCGACCTTGGACAAATACTGTGGATAAACAAAGGACTTACTGAGAGCCTGAGAGGATGCGGAAAGGATGTGAGGGCTGCTGCAGAGAAAATAGCCGTCACGAAGACAAAAAGGTGGGACAGATGGCAACATAGTCATCGCCTTATTTGTTAGACTGTGCAGCAGACACTCTGTCAAGTCCGGGCAGTAAAAAACAGCAGTGGGCAGCTGCAAAATGAAGCATTTATAAGCGATAACGAGACAAAGTCTATTTATCCTGCTTTTGCTTTTGCAGTGTCAGTGGTTAAACCAGTAGAGCGTTTCTTGGGCAAAGAGTCTTTGTGAGACGAAAACCAAGAAAACCCACAAGTGAAGCTGAGAGTGTGATTTATGTTGAAGGTGCCATTACAAAGTCCAAAACACCGAAGCAATAGTTTAAGAGTAATTTCAAAGTTTGTGGTCTCAAGTTTACTTGAAAACAGCAACGATTCTGAGTTCCAAGTTCTTGTAAATAGAGACGTGATTGATGGAAAGCTGTTTTTGTGGCTGTGGCTTTGTTTCAGGCCAGAAACAGGCTGGAGGTCCTTTTGAGAAACTGAATGGAAATCATTAGCAGGGTTTTAGCAAGTGCCACAATAACATACTCCAAACTTCAAACAGAGTTATCATTGCAATTGAAAGGTACGCCCTGATTTGGGTTGAACCATTGCATGCAGAGAGTAGTAGCAGCAGCAGTAGATAAAAATAAACATGTCTGTACGCTGTCATATTAAACCTGTATCACCAGGACATGCGGAGAGGAAACAAAGGGATAATAAAAAGCAGACAAAATAGTCCCACAGTTTATGTATGTGGATAGATTTATTCCAGAGTGTATTTCAGACACTGTTTAAGCTATAAATCTCACTTGTTCTCCAAGCAGCACCATAATGTTGAACAAACACTATTACACTCCTTCCCACACACTACGATACCCTCTAACATGTTCAAGCCCTCTTATATATACTGTTACAACATCCTACACAATGTGCTGCCTTCACTGACACACATTCTATAGAAATACACTCATGGCTTGGCCGAGTTAACCCGTACAGCAGCCTCTGGGGCTTAAACGCACCGTGGGGCCTCATTGATCACCTGCCTGTGGTTAGTTGGTTTAACGTAAATCAAATTAGGATTTTGAATCGGACACTAACGGACCTTAAACATGAAGCAAAGATGGTGTCTTTACAAGTAGACTGACAGATTCAACTTCTCCACCCTCACTAACAGAACTTTTACTCAAATGAAATGTCAATATTTTAGTATTTTAGGCCAAGCTACCTCTGGTTAATATGCACTTACATAATTCTAGTATGTTCTACAATCTAGATGTAAACAAGCACAGATGACAGATGTCATCTCATAGCACAGCGCAGGTTGGCAGGTTTTAAATCTGGAAATGAAGACAAAGCTGTGTGTAGGGTTGGGCTTTTTAAAGGCACTGTAAGGAATTTTTAACTGTTTGAAACAAGGACTGAAACTGGTTCTGATACCTCTTTATAACCTTTAAACGCAA